TCAGGGGCAGCTGTTGGAGAGTTAGAAGGGGAAAAACAAGAAGCCTTGCAGAAACAACAGTCATGCATGATGGGAATGGGAGGAGTGTTGCAAGAGATTGAACATAACGTTCAGTCAAAACATTTCGGGGGGGGGGGGGGAAGGGTTTGAAGCCCAAGGACACTAAGGAGCAGAGCTGTGGCTAGTGATAAATAAGGACCCGATTCCATGCTCCCTGGGAATTGAAATCCTGGTGTAAAGCTTATTAACATATTCACAAAGGCTCTACTCATTTCCAGCACTCAGCAGTCAGCAATCTCCACTCTGGTAGCTCAGCAGACAAACAGCTCTCATCTAATTTGGTACTTCACATTTTCCACCCTACATTGTGCTCCATCCTCATGTTTCATAGAACATTCTAGCAAAGGTATTCAATGCCTCCATTTAACAAGTGACCTTCATTTCTCTAAAACTTGACTTCCCCCAAATTTGCAATGACCAGTAGCAGAAGCAGGATTAAAATTTAAGCCCTTTTGAGATCAGAGTCCAAGTTCTTACACATACTCATTTGTCTCAGTACCTAGCTCATGCTGGCCCTGAACTTGGGCTCCTCCTGCCTCAGCATGCATCACCATGCCTGGCTTGTTTTCCTCACCCATCTACAAACTAGACCCTACCCACTGTCCCATATGATATGCATGGCTCACGATGTACTTCCAAAAATGTGTTCACAAGTGCTCTGCACAGGCAGAGCGGGCCTTGCCTCAGCTTTGGTAGCATGGGAAGCTGCAAGCAATGTGTTACTTCCGGTAGCTGGAGTTGAAGTAGGAGGAGGAGGAAGAGGCAGAGAAGGACGAAGGGTGAGGACTGCTGAGGAGGAGTCTCAGGTGCATTTTACCTGCATTCTGTTGGGATGGGGAAAGACCCGTGAGCGACGGTCAGAGGTCTGTCCCACGTGGTAAGGCGGGAAACGCCGCTGCCGGTATGGAGGGCGATACTGGGGGCGGCGCAGCTGATTCCTGGCCCCAGAGAACTGCCCATCTGTGGCAGGGGGCTCAAATCCTTCACTGCTGCCGCTCCCTTCCTCCTCCTCCTCCCCAGCGTACTAGCGAAGCAAAGAAACAGAGTTTCAGAAGAAGTTACAGCGAGGCAAGAACCAAAGAATGCCACTTACGATGGCCATCACCAGGAAACACCCCAACTCCCAGAGCAGTGCCCCGTTCGTTGTACAGACACAACACAGGTAGCCCAGATGATCAAGTGACTGGGATAAACTACGTGGAAATTAAAGCAGATCTATGCAGATATCATACCAAGCGGCAGACAAGCAATAGCAGACACGCTATTAACAAACTAACAGCACTGAATTAGCAGAACAGCAGTGTTAACACTGTTTGGCCCCTTTTCAGTGTGTCTCCCAAATTTACCCAGTGGGAAAAGTCAAGAACTGCCAATAAACAAACAAACAAACAAACAAAATAAAACAACAACAAAAAAAACCCCACTTCATGATGTCATCAGGAGATCTGACCTAGGCAGTACGCTTTAGGGCAGTTGGGTTTTTGGGAGCCTCCCGGAGCACCAAAGGCAAAGCATTCCCCACAATTCCACTAAGGCGTTCATCCCTCACCAGCTTATGGTGGATCTTCTATGCTACAATGACATGCTGTCTCTCAAAGGACCAAACACACGAGACGGAAGACTCGGACCAGCCTCTATTAAACCGTACAGCAGAGGCGCGCCATGGCGCAGTGCAATGCCAGTCTTCTCGCCCAATCTGTACAGGATTTTTAACTGAAATGCTTTATCAGTATGCAATGAGTTATTCTAAATTAATTTTAACTTCTAATATAATAGCAGTATCATACCATCAATGATTTTGAGATTCTTAATACCACCTAAGCCTAAAAGTAAGTTCAAAAAGTGTGAGGGCATCCTTCCTTTTTAGCAATTAGAAATATGGTTTAATTGCATTTTAATAGCAGTAAGTACTACTATTTCTAAATATAGACCATAAAAGGGGATTAATTACTGACTCGTTTTTCCTGATTTTTTAAAATTTCAACAAAATAAGCAAACATTTCTGAAAAACTCAAATCTCACTTTAAATATGAAATGACAAAGCCAGTCTTACAAGAACTATCTGCAATTTTTTAAAGTGAATTGAAAACTAATAAGCTAGTGACCAGTCTCTCTTAGGAGAATAGGTTACTTAAGCTTCAGAGCCTCCACACCAAACCCACACACTCAACTAGACTCCCCACACAACTGGTTTGGTCTAACTTCACAAATCAACAACACACTGTTCTCTGAGGGACTGGAGCTGTGTCCCAGCCCTCGTTTTTTACTTTCCATTTTGAGACAGGGTCTCACTAAGTTACTCAAGCTGGCCTTTAACTCACTCTGTAGCCCAAACAGGGCTTGCACTTGCGATCCTCCTGCCTCAGCCTCCCGAGTAGCTGGGATTACAGACCTGCGCCACCAGGCCTGGCTCATTCTACTCTTTATAAAACCTGTATGAATAAATGATTCACAGTTATGTAAAGATATATTTTGCATAGAAAATATTCACCACATAATTTCTGAAGGCATTATCTCTTAAGCTCATGCAGCTAAATCTTTCATAAAGACCTTTATGAAAAACCATCACAATGGTACCACCATTGCTGACCATACTTGAGTCAGCACAATGGAAGAAGGACCTTTCCAGCTTGGGGGGCGGGGGGAGGGGGCAGGGGAGAGAATCTTCCGTAAAGAAAACTCTTTACGGAGGGTTTTGACTACCTTTTACTTCTAAATTGACCTAAACATCAACCTGATCAGAAATGTGAATGAACTTGAGGAAACTGCCCATTCCTGCCCTGCCCCTCAAAGACGAAGCGGTGCATCCATGTGGAGGCTTTCTCAATCATTCTCTTCTGGACTTTCTTGAGACAGGGTCTCTCACCAGACACAGAGCTCATGGATTCAGCTACGCTAACTGGATGAACTGCAGGGATCCAGCAGAGACACCCACAACCCCGCGGGTGCTGGAACCATGTTTGTATGGCAGGTACTTTATTGACCGAGCCTTTCCCCCGGCCCTCATGAAATTTCTTTTTAAATCAAATATAAGTAAAAGAGTAAGAAAAAATATAAACAGATGAAATATAAGGGATGCAATAAAATCAACATGGGACAGGGGTAGATGACAGTTGAAAAGAAAAGAGGCACATCTATTAAAGCAGAACAAAGCCATCTGTATTATTTTTCTTTGTAGCTCTGACTGGCCTGGAACTTACAGGTCTGCCTGCTTCAGCCTCCTGAGTGCTGAGCCACCATTACTAGCTAATCTGAAGATATTTTGTTCTTTTTGAGATTTTTCTAAAGTTTCTCTTTGTATAACTCAGGTGACTTCCCTGCTGTACTCAGAGTTCCCTGACTGCTAAGTCTATGGCGCTAGCACCAAGTTCTACTTCCACAAACACCAAAAATATAGACTATTATACTACCATACCTACATAATTCAAATCTAGCACGGTGCTCATGACCACAACTGAGTTCATGTTTACCTTGAAAATACTCCTTTAAACTGAGCCTAAGAATGTTCCAGCCAGATTCACCTGAAAATGATTTCCCCTAGACTGAGATTAATCCAAACAACTAAAAATCTGTAATTACCAGTTCTTTACAAGAGAATAAAATGCTTTCTTATAGAAAGTAGCCCTTCAACCAAGGCAAGTTCCTCAGCACTCTTTCTTGCCAATCAAAGGTAGACTTTCAGGAAAACAGGTTGCCCAGCTGTGATGGGAACCCCAATCCTGGTGCCAGTGAATAGCACATTGGGAATCCGGCCAAAGGAAGAGAAAGCCTTTAGACAACTTGACACCTTAATTAAATCTGGTTATAACTGAATGTCTGTTACTTGTCACCAAGCCCACCCTAAAATGATACAGCATCTGACTGGCAACTTGCCGATGGGACCAGTAACAATGAAAAAATTCTGGGCATTAAAAGTTCTCCTTAAAAAAATGAACACATGCAGTATCTCCAGGACATGGAACCTTCAAACACAGTATGTATCTGCTCCTATGCTCATTCAGTTTTAAATATGAGAACATTTGCAATCAACAGTCAGGGACACAGTCAACATACATTACGAGGAGGCCCACGGCGCCTGCCATAGTAGCCGCGTCTGTACCGGCGCCGGTCAGCAGCATAGCGACTCCCTTCCACGGGGACTCCATCTGGACCAGTCACATTTGCCGCTTCAGCACCCTGAGGGAGAAGAAAACACAGTCTCCAAATTTAAAAGGAACTAAGTAACCTCCTCCTCCAGTAACAGTCAGTTACTGTGTTAAGATGCCCTACTGTGATCTCAAGAACTTGAGAGGCCCCACTCCCTCGACTGGTCAGCCACGTTTAGGAGCAGTGTATAACCTCAAAGAACATGAACAAATGAATACACTTAAATGAAAGCCCAGATTCTACAAAACCTCTTAGCACGTGTTGAAACTCGTGGTACCCCAAGGTAGCACCAGAATCCTGACTGGTCAGCTCCATCTGCTCTGACTAGCTCTGCGTTCCTGCTTAATGAGCTTGGCAGAAACAGGGAAGAAAAGACCCCTGACTTAGGAAGTCTCCACACAATCCTCCCTTTTCCTGTTATATTTTTGACACCACCTTAAGAGCTCTTTTCCTACCCCTAAGTGCTAGGGACTGAAGGTAAAGACTCAAGTATAACAGGCAGCAAACATTCTAACACTGAATTACATCCCTAGGCACCACCAAATTCACCTGCAACAAACCTGGGTGGAAAAGCCCCCCCTTCTTTGAGCTATGGAGTATTCTAGGGGCCAGGAAAGTGGAGCCTGGCTTGGCTGGGGACTTCAGTGTGCAGCTGGGTTCGGAAGTCTACCAGGATCTGGCTAGTGTGAATCCCGGCTATCAAGCCCTGCTGTTTCCCAAAGTCATCCTGCGTACCTGCCTGGAGCTGTGATCTGGCCAGTGTCAGATCAGAGACAAGAATACCTACTGGGAAGCTTTGTCTTCTAGGTCCCTTAGAGCAACCTATACAAGGAATAGGGTGCATACACTACCCAGGAGGCTGCTGTCCGCAGACACTGCACACCAGCATCCACCGGGGGAGGAACCTGGTCGGCTTAATTGGCTGCAGTCAAAGTTGTCAGGCAGGGATGAGGGAGGGTGCAGTTTTGAGACAGAACTTTGCTGTTTATCATAGACTGGCCCTAAACTTGCAAAATTCCTCCTTCCTCGGGTTGTCCGGTGCCGAGATCACAGGCCGGTACGCCAGGCCTGGTTTCTGTGGTGCCGGGGACTGAACCATGGATTTCCCAAATGTTAAGCATACACTTTACTAACTGGGCTACACGCCTGGTCCAAGACAGTCCTGGGTCCAGAATAAAATACATCGCATACTTTGAGAAACTAGCCTTCATCCCAGGGTTCCTTTACTACACAAGAAACTAAAATATACACCATACTGAATATTCATGAGGGTGTCCAATAAAAATAATTCTGCTCCCACTTCCTCCTCATAAAATTTTTAAATACTACTCCACAGAGGCTGAAAAGCCACCTACTATACGATAAAAGTATGCACCAGCACACTCGGACACTATCTGCTTCTCACCTTTTCTCCTTCAACCACATCAAACTCTACAGTTTCTCCATCCCCCACACTGCGCAGATACTTGCGTGGATTGTTCTTCTTGATGGCCGTCTGTCGAGGAAAACAAAAAAACTCCATTGGAGGTGTATCCCAACACTGAGATGTGTTCATCAATTTCACGCTAGCCACAGTACTATATATGTGTTTTCTTTAAAAAAAGTAAAGCCTCCACCCTTCCATTAAGCTGCACCTCAAAACAATACTCCACAACATGGTGCACATTTCTTTCCTGATTTGTAGCATGCTTCAAAATGTGTATCTGCAAGTGGTAAAGAGACAGTCACCACATGCTCCTGCTGCTGCACCCTGTCACCCAGTCAAGACACTGAATCAGTTATTATCAAGCAAGAGACTCCTGGTGTTCTAGCTATACCTCCTTCCATCAAGGCAAAGATGCCTACGTGAGACCTTATATAGACACACAAGCACAGTTTGGGTACAAAGGTTTTGTATGAAAGAGAAACTTTTGACCTCCGAAGCTTTTCACATGGCAGGCTGCAGTAATGGCTCAGCCGTTGTGAGCACACACGGCTCTTGGAAGGATTTGAGATGGGCTCTGCACCCACTTTATGTGGCTGTTTGCAACTGCAGAGGATCTGCTGCCCTCTTCTGGTCTCCACAGGCACTGCACTCATGTGCACACTCCCGCCCTCCCCCAACCACATAAATAAAAGAGTATTTTTTTTAAAAAGCCAGTGTGGCTGGGATAGTGATGCATGCCTCCAATGCTCACATTTGGGAAGTAGAAGGAGAATTAGGTGCTCCACACCAGAGTCTTTTCTCACAAGGAAAGGTGGGCTGAGTAGCTCATGTTTGAAATTACCAACACTTGCAAAGATGAGGCAGGAGGGTCATTAGGACCTCGAGGCCAACCTGGGCAACAAGAAGTTCAAGACCAGTGTCTTGCCTCATAAAGACAGATGAATAAAAGTGATTTTAAAAAAAAAATAAAAAATCGACGAGATAAATGTTTATGCCCATAAATACTATAACATAATAAACAAGATTACTTCAAGAGTGGTAACACACAAGTGCCCTCTATCAGCTATCCCACTTTATGGATGAAGAAACGGGCCAGTGACTTACCTGAGGCCTTAAAGCTAAGAGGCTGAAATGGAGGTAGAAGACCTCTGTTCTTACACTGTATCTGGAGTCCTCAGCACTCCCCACCTCACATGCCAGCCATCATTAGAACTGAAGGAGAAGCCACTCTACACTGGGCATCTGCCCCTACATCATCCGCTTAAGAAAAGGCCCTTTCTCTTTCAAATACAGGAAGAGAAGAATCCTCAACAAATCTCCACTCCCCTGCCTGGCATCCCTAAACAGTTAAAGGGCTGCGGAGTTTCTATGGAAGTAGGTCAACCCTATTTTATAAAGCGATTAGACATGTGTAATCCAGCCTTCCTCTGCTCTGAGTAGGAGGGAGAGAAGAGGGGGAAAAAGTGAGCCAACAGGGCAGACCTCACCCACTCCAGAAGGAGGCAGCTCGGGACAGGATGTATGTGCACACAGCATGAGCATTTAGCCAGTCCAAAAAAACAGCCCCTCCCTGCCGGCTCGTTCTCTTTTTCCTGTTAAACTGGGCAGGCCTCAACACACTGATGTGACTCACTCCACAACCTCATGGGCCTGGAATCGGGTCATTAGCTCACAGGCTAGGAGGTCGGCCACCAGCATGAAAACTCCTTTCTCCCAGCAGTCACCGAACAGGGTGCTTTTCCCAAAGGTCACTAACCTCCATATGTTAAAGCAACACTCGCTTCTCAGTCTGCTAGGACTTTAAAAGTCACTGTACCCTAATAAATCTACTCCAATTATCTGGGTACAGCAGAAATGCATCCCGCACAGGGCAGACATATGAAGGATGGAAAAGACAGCTACAGAGGTCTTTTAGATGTGGCTATCTCCCTCTGCCAAACGCCAGCCCAACACAAACAAACCCAAACACAGGGGAGCAAGAACAGCACAGCAGCCGCGCGGGTCAGTGTGCCACTGCCACGCTTTTTCAACAAGACACTGAAAATGCCATGTCTCTTTGAGAATGAATATACAAAACAAACAGCAAAAGGGGTGTGGCTCCTCTTAACCTACTTCATAAAGCAAACAATCGAGGGTAATAATAATACAGAACATCTGAGGACACCCGTTTGCTCCATTTTCTCAAACAGAAGGAAACTGGCAGGGGTTGGACTTGGACACGTGCTAGATAGACACGTCTCTGTCAACAGGAGGGAGGACTGTCTAAGGGAGGGAAGCTTTCTCAGGTCTGAGACACACATCTAATCCTCCTGTTCTGGGTGTTGTTCACAAATCAAAGGAGTTTTACCCAAAACCAGCTCAGGCAAAAGCCAGGTTGGCTCCAGCCAAGGACCAAAGAGAACCACACCGCCAGACCAGTAGGCAGGTTTTTGGGTTTTTCGTTTTGTATTGTTTTGTTTTGTTTGGGAAGGACTCAGAGGCTTTAAAAAGCAGAAAATGGTTTAACCGAATATAAGTTTAAAACTGAAAAGAAACAACTCAAATGCCTGGAAACAGTTATATAAGGGGACAGAATGGTTTATCTGCCACACTTAATAATGCTGAACTAAGCTCTCATTCCAAAATAAACCAAGGGAGTTTGGGATACTACAGTCATTTGCTGGACACACAGTCAATGTAACTAACACTGCTAGCCTCCCTCTTACCTGGTGTACAAACACATCTTCTTTGGTGTCATTTCTGTTGGGAGGCAGGAAAAAAAAAAAGAAAAGGAAAACACAACTCACTATTAAAGGGTCTGAACATTCAGGGAAGCTTCAAAGAACAAATGTACTATGAGCAGACATCTCAAGACCTAAAAAAGACAAACCTTTTAAATCGTTTGTCTTTTCAAAACATGTCTCAAATCAATTCCCGTAAGCCCCACCTCTCCCAGATGCCCCTCTACTCCTCCAATGTGGAGATCCAAGCATTGGATTCCACATGCACAGAAACACCCCTGTGCTCTCATGTCTTTTTCAATCACATGCTATGTAATCAGAGCCCTAAATTTTCCTCCCAGCAAAAGCAAGACAGTCAAAAGGACAGGGCACAGCTGTGAACTAGGCTCTCCTTACAGTGAAACTTAAAACAGTCCTCCCACCACCCCACCCTAACCTCCACCCCACCCAGACCGATAAGGAAGAGACTGGAGGAATTGGTTTTAAAAATTAAGGAAAAAGAAAACAGCCGGCGCTCTGTAAAATACATCCCCCTATCTCCAAGCAGCCTGTGGTTACCTCCATTCCCATATGGTAACAAGTCACCCTGGTTTAAACACTGGTTTCCCCACAGGACTTGGGACCAGACCAGGGCTGGGCTTACAGACCCAGCTCAGTTACTCACTAGTGTGTGACCTTAAGGAGAGTTGCTTAACCAGGCTCTCTTTTCTCCATCTGTGAAATTACGGATGGGGACTATGTAAAATTCTTCCCATTTCTGACTGTAGTTTTAATCTCTCTGTTCTAAAGAGTATATGAATGCTCTAAAAATGTGTCCATGATCAACAGTTTAGAAATCGCAAATTCGTACAGCTCATTAATAAAGTGGGACAATGGATTTGTAACTGCTGTTGCTACAAAGTGGGTGCAAGACATACAGACACATACCGGTTTATAAATCCATATCCATTTCTGACGTTGAACCATTTGACAGTGCCAAGGACTTTGGTGGCTAAAACGGGATTAAGCAGATATGTTAGCACCTGACCTACAAAGAGATAAAGCTCCTATCACTAAGGTCTTGATACCATTACACAAAGCCTAAACACCCTTGAGTAAACCATTAATGGCTTGATTCCAAAACAAAACAAAACAAAAAACGTGGAAGAATGTGGAGCTTTGATAGAGACGCTTTTTCAAGCCTGAGCTTTTCTTTCATGCAGACTTTTTACCGAGGTCTCAAGGGTGGCCCTATGCCCGGACAATTCTGTATTAGCCAAAACTGAGAAAGGTGGTTGAAGAAAACTGCCAATAAAGACTCATAAAGACTCAATTTCAAGGGAGAGGCATCTGCATATGTCTATAAATCCAGCACTCAAACCCAGGAGATGACAGCAGGAAGATCAGGAGTCTCCAGCCAACGTGGGCTAAAGACCATCCTTAAAAACAAAACCTAAAACAAAAAAGGCCCCGGAAGTTCCAGGGCTGGGGCCTTGGCTCAGGGGTATAGTACTTCGCATTCATTCAAGAGGCAACAGGTGTGAACCTCATATCCTAACCAAACCAACTAGGAAAGAAGAAACACAACACATTTCAGTTACTGACCCAGACACTTCCTATGTGCACAGGAAGATCTACAGAGAAAGTACAGAGAGCTGTGCCATCTCATCATTTTCATACTTTGAAATATTAGGCAAACTTTAATAAGCAACACAGTAACTCCTGCTTAATAACAAACTGACAGAGATATAAAGAAACTTGTCTGGTGGCCAAATGAAGCCTGGAGTGATAACAGAATGGATT